GTTCAAGAACCATCTCATTTTTGATACATGAGGCACCAACTATGTCTTTTTTCGTACGCTTTGCTTGTTTTGCTATACGATACAAAGATTTCATTTGATCACCTTTGCTTTTAGTGAGTCACTCTCTGCACTGATCTGTCCGAGCCAGTGCAACTGGACGTCTTGCATAGTTGTTCTCACGGAAAATTTTATGGTCATCAACAGACTTTGATTTTTGCCATTGCTTGTATACATCTTTCTTTTCAGCTATTGCATTTTGTACACTGTCATTCCACCACCAAGTGTCCCGTTCATGCTGACGTTTTGTACCAGTTTTCCCACAAACTGTAGTTGCAGCGTTTATCAAAACGGTTTTGTATGTACCCCAATCTGTACTGGCTTGCGATTAGTGGTCTAACTGTGTGGCGACAATCTGTTGAAATTTTTCTCGATGAATATTGCTTTTCAGCTTCCACGTTTTGATTCTCCGTGGCATTTGTTTAGACTTATGTTTTGAAAGTTCGACAACCAGGTCTGCCACAAGGAGTCTATGTTGGGCGACATATGATTCAATCAATTTGCGTGGCTGATGGTCCACTTTTGTATGTTATGAGATGTTCCAACCTCTTTCTATATGTGTTTAGTAAACAAAACCCGTGACGTTCAGCAAATTCAAGGATGCGGTTGCCATCTTCATTCCGTTCTCCATAGCCAAAACCGCCATGTACGTTGTCAAAACCATCTATTTTCTCTCCAACGTGACCATTGAGATCGCCTCCAATCAGGATTGTTTCAGATTTTGGTATTGTTGAGATGGTGTCAGAGAATGCAGCCCAGAAGTCATTTTTCATCTCTTCTGATTCGCCTGTCTGTGGTACGTATGCAGAAAAAATAATCATTGTTTGCTTTTCTATGCGAAGCTTGATCCACATAAGACGTGAATTAATCCTTTTACTTCCAGTACTTCTTGGGCTAACGGTTCTCTGACAAAATTCCAACACCATTTTTGGCCGTCTTTTGACCATTCCATAATAGTTTATATTTTTCTTTGTCTGAGTTGACATGACAGACACCATTTGATAACCATCGGGTTTCCTGAAGACAGCAGATGTCAATCCTTTTACGCTCGGGCATTTCTGCGATTTCCATGCTGTGGCCAGTTAGTGATCCAACATTGAGCGTTCCAAATCTAAGTACCATAGAGGGGCCATTCTGAATTTATCTGCAACA